TATATAAATATATATATATGTATATATATAAATAAAAATAAATAAAAATGTCACATTCCCAACACCAAGTCAGTTTCTTGTTTTTGGAAGTGGTTAATGCAGGAGCAAAAGATGCAGTGGTTAAAATGACCCAACATCCCCAGAGGAAATGATATGAAGAACAAGGACATTTTGGTATAAAGTTAGTAGTCAAATTCTCCAAGGACGTCTTTTGTCTTTGCTTTTTAAATTAACAGCCAAATATATTTTTTAAACCACCTCCTTGATCTAACACTTAAATTGCTGACATTGTCCAAATTAGTGTAATTTTTTTTTTCCTGTAACGTCACTTGGTTCTTGGCTACTAACCTTTCATGTTACTCTTGGATTTGTCAGTTTGCTTGCCTGTGGGGGTTTGGGCCTGCTGCCCCTGCCCACTGGAAGAGGCTGCCTGCTGTGCTGCTTTCTGCTTTAACATTGTCCAGTCGAATGTGTAGTCATATTGGTGGTTCAAGGTCCTAGAAAAGAGTGAAATACTTTACTGTAACACATCATAACTTCCTTATTGCTAATACCAAGCCTCTCCTGAAAGCCCAGAACTAGAGGTTAACTCTAAGCTGCTTTGGAGATTATGAATGGTACATAAATGTCAAGTATTACTAACTTAAAGGGATTCTTGAAGCAAGCCCAAATACTATCAAGTGGTGTTTTCTTCACTGTTTACACAAAAGCACGCTGTAGAAGCAGCACTTCCTCACAACCCAGCTTACCCAGCTGTGGGCACTGAGGTTCTCAGCTTTTTTTTTTTTAAATCAAATATACATAGTTTTAAGGACAGACTTCAGTATTGTAGATCGTAGAATAAAAATTGCTTTGGATTCCAGAAACCTGGCGGAAGATTCCCTAGAGATCAGTACCAGCTCTTCTTTTGACAGATGCTGTTCATTCCACAAGGCTGAGTTCATGTTCTGGTTTCTCTAACAAGCTCAGTGAAACAGCACTATTACCCTCCACTGAAATCCACCTCCTGGGCACCGCTGCTAGTCCCATCACCGATCTCCAAACACAAAAAGCTTCAAACACTTCTACCAAGGGGTCAATTTAAGCTACTTGCAACAGAACCTGAAGTATGGGCTCAACCCTCTACCATTAGTTGTCAGATCATGCAACACAAAACCCAAGATCGTCTTTTCCTTCATGTTTAACAGCGAACAGTATTTTTCAGGTCCTTTAAACAGCTTTTCAAACTCTGAAATGAAAGGAAGTCCCAGAAGAACTTGCTACACTACATACATGGAAGAGTTTTCTGCAGTGCAAGTCCCACAGAGCAGTTACCAAATGGTAAAGCACTGACAAATTTCTGTACTTTTCCACTTTGAGACTGACCTGAAAAGAATACGGAATAATTGCCTCAGATACATGTAATCTGGTGCCTCTTCAAAGCGCAGGCCACGACAGTAGTTCAGATACATGGCAAATTCTGCAGGGAATCCCTGTAAATCAACAGTATTAATCAAGCCATGGCTTGCAGCAAAAAAGCTTCTAACAACCCTGTAAGAAGGCAAAAGGCAATAACGGCACAGAAAAACTGGCTGAAGATTTGTAAGCATGAATTCCACTTTGCCTCTAGTCATTAATTTATTCTGTATTTCAGAAAGTGGATTTGATCAGCAAGTTACCAAGTACACATTCCTTCCCCAGAATTGTTACCTGATGTATGTTTTGCAATCACAAGTTCTCTGCTATTAAAACTTTCAACATACAACATACTGAAAACACTTCATCCATCCTAATTAAACTTAGTTCTTATTAACTAAGTCTCTGAAATTAGTAATTGTCTCTTAAAAGATTCCACTCATGCTTCCTTGATAAACTACCTGAGCATACTGAAGGCAAGGTCAGTTACCACTATTAAGTGTCAAGACGTAAACTATGAAAACCTCTTTGAAAGACGTTTTCATAGTTTACGAGGTTACATATTTATACAGTTAATGCTGTATTAAAGCCTACATGTAAATAGGTAATACCATACAGCATAGTGCTGTACTACAAGAAAGAAAACACAAGGTCTAACAGTTCAGCAGTTTGGAAGATGCTGTCAGACTGTAACGATATATAAGTGTGCATGACTAGAAAGTGTAATCCTTGGTGCTGCTCTTTGATGTGCAAAAACTACGATGTGTTCTCAAGGACCTCTGTTAACAAGCATGTGGCTGCTACAGTTCAAGAGGAATCTTAGACCCAAAGGATAGCTTGGAAAATCATCATTCTGCCACATGGCTTTAAAGATCACTTGACATCCAATTCCAGTACAGCCTCTATTTGAGATACGGAAGACAACACGAACAATCTCGAAGAGGCAGAAACAAGTATATACAGGCAAGCTATACAGCTCTACCTTGGTTTTATTTATCCAAGAGGGCACATGTAGAACTTTTACTGTAGAAGTCGGAAGAAATGAGCATGCCTCATCTAAGAGACTAAAGGAGCTGGAGAGCTTGCTCAGCTGACAGTCCCCAAAACTGGAACGATGGTGGCATGAACTACGCCAAGAAACAGCAGCAAATGCCTGCCCTGTCACACACATTCAGTCTTGCTGGGTGGCCAAACACAAGGCACCCAAGACTGCCAGAGAAGTATTATTCAACAGCAAATGCCATGTGAGACTATCTAATACATTGGCTCTAGTTTAAAAAAAAAAAAGAAGAAAAGAACTTCCATTTCACAGTATGACATCATTTGGAAACTCTTACCTTACACAAAACCTCAACAGGAGTGGACATTTTCTTTTCACTAATCTTTTCATACTTTTGCTTCTTTGTTGCAGCCTGTGGAACATGTAGGTCACAATATAAGAGATATTGTGCAACACTGGATTAACAAGGACAGTAGCAAAAAAAAAACCGACAAAAATCCTTTGGTCAACCAGAAGTATTTTACATGAAATCTCCAAGTCCCACACACTTACTGCAAAGAGAATGAAGGTCAATCTGGTATTAAGATTTGGACACAGTTTAATACCATTTGTCGCAGTCTAATGCTTCCATCACATGGCACAGCTCGTGTAGCTCTAACTGCTGCTTTTGTCCATTAAGCAGACCAGACTTGCGTTTACATTTGCCAAAGTTCTATTAATTCCCACTCAGCACCCCATTCAAGGGCTGCCTGCATGTTTCAGTAAGCAGCCATTACATTCGTTTGCAGCTGAAGAGTTCTAATGTTTCACAAGCTGCTTGCCTTTTTAGAAAACTTGCAGCTGCAATACCATTTGAGTTACACAACTCCCACACGGAGGAAGAAAAACAATTAAAACATGAAAACAAATCACTAAAGTCTATATATCAGAAATAAGAAATATTTGCCATGCTTGTACGTGGGTACCATATATAAATACTTAAAACAAGCCTGTTGCTTAATAATTACTCAGTCATGCCATAAACTGGACTGAAAATATCACTAAAGCTGAGCTTGCTAGGTGAGAGTATTTCCATCCTCTCTACAGCAATTCAGAAAGTCACTAACAATGTTATTTCCTACTTCCCAAAAAGGGCCTCAGCCTACAACAGGACAATAATAGTCTGCAAAGATGACAAACTACTGTTTAGTATAAATTTTAAGGCAGTCAAACAATACACATTTTGCCTGCTGCACCAGAAGCAGAAAAGAACCTTTCTTCTACATTCTATAAATATGCCTTGGGAAAAGCTGCTTTGTGTAACTGAAGCTAAACATTATAAACAGCCACCTGTCCAAACCAGCAGGCAAAAGCATGATACCCAAACACAAAAAAAAAAGGAAGGGTGGGGAAAAAAAAGGCAACATAGCCTACCTTTAATCCTTGCCAAGGCAGACTGGTTCTGTTAAAGTACATCAATACATAGCCTAGAGACTCCATGTCATCCCGACGACTGGAGAAAGAGGAAGAACACAATGAATTACAAATTTCGGCATTTCATACTTTACTCGAAATAGTGCAAGCATTCAGAATTTAAAAAAAATAATTAAGGAATAAAACCTAAGCTTTGGTGCAAAGAAGGTCTCTTTCTAATACAGCTAAGACATCTAGATGTTCAGGATTCCACTGGCAGGCATGTAACAAGTCTTCACAAGCAGGAAGGAGATCCTATTCATTTTTCAAGCAAGGAAGTCAGTAGGTATTGTGTGTTGTAACTTTCCATCTGCAGCTACATTAGAATAATTTGGGGAACATAAAAGCTTTGGACAATAAAAAAACCATATTAAATGTCTTTTCCATTTAATTAAGTAGCTTGGATAGAAAGTAATGTTTTACCTGCATGAACCACAGAATGCATTGTAAGAGACACATAACATCAGCCTTAACTTCATTAAGGAAGATTTTTCCCTGAACCTTGCCTCAGCCTGGCACCAATACTGAACATCTACCCCCAAAAGGGCAAAACTCCTTTATTTCCTCACTTCTGTAAAAAAAAAAAAGCCTCTGAATTGTCTCCATGATTTTTAGAAGACAAGCAATATTTAGAAAGGCGCATGCATCAATCTGAGAGGTGCCTTCTTCCCACAAGAAGTCTGTTTCAAGGCAACTAGAGAACTCCAGAGTTATCCATCCACAGACTTCACTGATTTGCACGCAAGCTCTCATCTAAAAGGCTTCAAATGTTTTCTGTACTGCATATACTCCAGATCCACACTTCAGCCACATGAACACCATCACACTTTACTACACAGCTTTCATGATTACTAAGGCTAGTACAGTTCACTGAAGTGGAAAAAACACTCCATGACTTTTTTCCTCTTGGCAAAGCTGCCTATTCCCAGCTGTGGTAGAATCAGATCTTTCTTCTGACTGCCCCTCTGCAGCTGACATCTATTTAACATGAGACAGAAAAATAACTTATAAAGGCTGACAGCAGTATTGCAAACAGGATTATACATATGGGTGGAGGTAAAACAGCTCCCTGCAAATGAAAACAGCCGCTAAGAAGCCGGATAGATCTACCTTCAGATCTTGGTATGACAGGGAAGAAGTTATAGGTGATGCTTTGTATTATAGCCAACCCAATATCACCACTAATAATCACCAGAATGGCCTGCCCGTTACCCCCTCAACTCATGTTCCAGCTCTCTGACTCTTTGGCGAATCAGTTCAGGGAGCCATCCCAGAAGAAAATCAGCTTGGCTCCCTAAACCATTTCACCAGAAGGCCAAAAAAACACTAGCTGTGGTCAGGGAAGAGAAGACTGGTTCATTCCTCTTGACAGCAGCTAGCTCTGAGGTCATCTCAGCTGTAGCATGAAACCACAGCCAAAGACAGAGGGATGAAGAATGATACTAAGACCATAAACTCCATTAGAATTGCAGATTTTAATCATCAACAGAATTCAATGAACTGGTGTAAGGCCATGACAAAGTTACACTCTGAGAATGCAGTGGTAAATTCAGAAGCAATAAAGAGATTAGTAGTTTCCATCCCCCATGCAGTTCATTGCTATAACGTTTAATTTAATTTTATTTTGAAGTGGGAAACATTTTGTTCTGTAAATCTGTAACAGATGGATTACATTTGAGCATATACTGATAAAAAGCGGTTTTCAGGATTTGGAAAACAGGACAACACTCTCCATTAGTAAAACAAGAAATGGCTAACATTGCAAACAGCTCCTTGAGAACAGCTCTCATTACATACAGGAAAATATGTTCTGTAACAGTTAAGACTACAGTGCTAAAAGTTTAAATACTCTGCCATAAACTTCAGGACTGGTTTCTCTTGATTACAAGATTATTTGTTTGCCTCACTGTTGGCTTGATCTAGACAGCTGAATAGCTTTTAGCATGCACCAAGCTTCATTTCTGATTATATTAGAATTCCAGTACCAGCGTACATGGCACAAGACCTCCAACTAAATTCAAAAGCAATAGTCCTTTGCAGTTCCCTCCCTTCACTGGAAGGTGCCAGCACAGCTATTCCCTTACAAGAACGGCTTGGGCTCTAGGAAACATACTTCAGAAATGACACCTCTACTCTACCTGACCTACATGTCAAGTAGGTTTAAATAATGACACTGACAGACAAAAAAATGCACTTAAGGAACCTTAAGGAAATTAAAGAAGAAACATGGAGCATTTTAAAGCACCAAATATTTGTAAGTTACATGTTCTGTTGAAGTTGACCACTAGAAATTGTCATTCCCATCTTGATTAAATCAAAGGTCAGAGACACAAACATTCATGGCAGTTTTAACCATGTCTAAGTGACCTCAGCATCATGTGGTAAAGCCACACTATTATACTTATACTTTACAATATCTAGGCATATAGGTAAGGAAGAGAAGAGAGGGACCACTTCACAGCTCATGAGCACCTAACAGCACTTTCGGTTGTTTGGAAGTATATCTCCACTGGACCGCTGCTAGGATACAGTAACAGCAATATGCTTTTAGTCCAGATGATAAAAACGTTTGTTGATTAAGCAAAGCTCAAAAGTGTAAATATATGTATCCACACATACATGTGTACATACACATACAGAGCCACAACTATGACTGTGTATGCCAGAAACCAAAATACAGTGCAAATGAGGTAGAAGATCTTTAAGTCTTGCTCACAGGCAAAAGGCTAAACAACAGTTTACAAACCTGAAGCGAGAGTGAGAAAAACAGCACACAGATCCCAGCTTTAGAACACCCTTTCTGGCTACAGAACTGCATCTCAAGCCAGTCAGCAGAGGCATCGATAGGTACCAACACAAGTAGGGAAGTGCACCATCTTATTTGTGAAGATCCTCTGACAGATCCACATGAAAGTGTAGCTTATTCTTTAAAAAAAAACCAAACCAAACCAGCATGCAGAATATCCACCCCATGCCTGCAAGACCTAAGACTCTTCAAGAAGCAAATTCGGTGCTTTTTTCCCCCCTCCCCTTGCATAGGCAGCCAACTTGCAAAGGGATATATACACTTATCCATATAAAATTAGTTCAGACACTGCAGAAGCTCACAAATAAGATCATCCCGCAGCCTCTGTAAGCACAGAAGTAATCTCCTTGAACTCACCTCTGCTCAATGCCAAGATGTGCATTGATACTGGCATATCGAGCTGTGCCAGTGAGATTTTTGTCTTCTCTGTATGGTATGTGTTGCCTTGTCCTGTTGTCCCGGTACTTTTTGGCCAAACCAAAGTCAATAAGGAATAACTTAAAGAAAAATGAAAACAGATTATATTTCTATACAATGCAAGGAATCCCCAACCTCTTTCATAGGCATTAGCTACAGTTTAAGACATCCACACAATGTAACAGCCTACAGTTAAGAGGAAGCAAAGTAACAGTGCAGAGTCGCAACTAGTTTTAACTGCTAGTTAAAAAACTTAATAGTGAATTAGTTCAAGCCTTTTCTCAATCCAGTGGAATGGATTAGGTTGTGCTACTCAGCATCCACAGCTTAGCTCTACAACTATTTTATGTTACTATTGTAGTTTGTATCACATTAGCGCGATAACTACAGTGCACAATTTCGGAAGGAACTAGTATGTGCAAAAGCACACTTCACAAAACCCCACTCACACTAGAGCAGTTTACACATACAGATAGTTAATGGCAGCTCAGCAGCTTAATGCAAGTGATGCACATCCTGTATTCTTCTCTATGCCTCAAAGAACACTGGCCATTCTGCAGAGCATAAGGCCAAAACCTTCAACAGCAAACAAGACATCTTGCTTTCAATCATATGCTCGTTTTAAGACTACCAGAACACTATCACAGCAGCATGACACACTTGCTGATGATATTAACACAGCCAGGAAGCTAGAGCCTAGTACATGGAACCCAATTTAGGTTTCTAATAACCAAGCTTGCCCAGTGATTTGATATTTAGCAACAACTGAGTGCATACTAATTAGTGTGCTAACAGCCAGCCTATCTACAAAGGTTAACACACACTGTACCTTCTTGTGACAAGATTTCAGGACTAGGCAAAAAAGCTGAGGCAGAAGTACGCAAGGAGCATTTCAAATTCTAGCAATCAGTCTTCAAGCTACAAATCATCGGGCTGAGCTCCCAATTCTAGTGCTGAATTAATGCTACAGGATCAGGGACTACAACCCCTCCAGATTAATGAATACTGCAGAAGTAACTTGGGTGGAAGAAGAAGATGATGAAAAAAGACATATAGTAGAAGAAGTTCTCAGTAAAAACCTATTCAGTATCACCTTAAAGGTGATTCCAGAACAGAAGATGCAGCTTTAAACGCAAACAAGTCCTGGAGATTGATATGCAGGTATACCTGAATCCAAGACTGAACCAAAGGGTCACTCTGGCACCTCAGAAGTGCTGAGAGTTATAAAGTGACACTTGGAATTATCAAAGATACTGAAAGGTTATGAACTGCATGGTGGGTATGCTTTAGAATTCTGGCTGAAGAAGATCTAACTATAGTAGCATGTACAGGCCAAAAAGCTAAAAACCTCTTAAACTACTGATGTCAGAGCAGAAAACCTTAAGTTGAAGTCTTGCAGTGATTTATATGGAATCAAAAAGCACAGCAGCTCTACATTTGCTGTTCTAGTGAAAGTCACCCCAAAAGACCAGAATGCTCTGAGCAAGAGGACATAAAACCAAGTCTTTAAATCAACTACACTGAACAGACAGTTCAGGAAAGCGGGGGTCTTTGTTGCACTCATCACAGCCACCACTAGAGGTAGTCATTCACTCAGTGAGCATAGATATTTCTCCAGCTACCAGGAAATTAGCTATTTTGATACTCAATTCCTAGAGCAGATACTATAAAGTGTCTATGTGACTACTATACTGCAAATGCAACTTTCCTAGAAGCAAAGCCTGAGCTCAAATGCAACCCTTATTTTCTGATTAAAGCTTTCTGATCTGATGACAGCCTCTGATGTATAGTTTGCAATGGGTACTTTTGCAGGGCCTTTACCCATTTAAGCAAAGTGCTATGCCTTCAGAAGGAGGGAAAACCAAACACCATACACATCAGTCAGAATATTTTCACTGCACATTTAGTTACAAACACGTTAAACAATTCAAAGCCTTCACGTGCTTTCTGTAATTCTGGGGATCTTGCTGTTATTGGTATGAAGGGACAAAGTCACAGTTCATGACATCAAAATTAACACTGAAGTGTGCCTCTAATACATAAATAGTTGGTGTCTAGCCCTGTTTAGCACAGACATATAAGACTACTTTCTTCAAAAGAGTTGTAAAAGTTAATGACGGTCTGCCTCTTCTGCAGCTGCTACCAGCTCTCGATATTAGACCTGAAGAAGGTAATTCTGCCTTCTCTCAAGAGGTATGGGTAGAACCTCTTAAAAAAAAAAAAGGAATCAATTCAGCAACACAGACTTGTTTTATGCTAGGCAAGTAACTGGATGATATTTTATGGCACTGATTTCTCTGGGGAAATTTACTCTGTTCCCTAGCTTTGGCTCATCCTGTATGCCCCATTCTAGATGGGTGGAAGGCAAAGGAGTACGTCCATCTTGTAAAGAGTTAAGTTGGAAGATACAGCCAGATTTGGACGAGCACAGAATGTACCGATGCCAGCCAGCAGGAACACAGATGTATTCCCACAGATAACCTCATACAACCTTAATTCTGTTTGTTGCATGATCAAAAAAAGAGAAGTAGGGCAAGATTTTTGCCAAGAGCAACTAGAGAAGTAGATCAAAGTCTCTGCCTCAACTGATAAGAAAGTTTCAGAAGCAGACAACAGAAGCCTGTCAGCTTGCGTACAGCAGCTAGCTGCCTGGAATTTAATACACGAAAGCTAGCATTGTGGAAAGCTACGGACTGATTCTATGGCCAAACTCTTGAGCTATGATTCATATTCAGCAATTTCCAGCTGTCCTGCTATGAACTGGCATACGTCTTAATTTCTCTTGGATTCATCTTCTCTTGAAGAGTCAAGAGTACTACATTTAACTACAAGATAAGCTCACGCTTCTCCAAGACACAGCTGGTTGGAGTAATTTCATTTTATCAGCACAATGGATGAAAATATGGGAGTCCTCACTACACATTTGCAAAGATTTTGAACAAAAACTACAAGGGAAGAATCTGGTTGAAGCAGTAACAGAACTTCTCCATGGGTATTCAAAGACACTGCAGGAACCCTACAGGAAGGCAAACAGACAGCCCCTACGCAGAAGCCCTTTCTTTCACTAGGGTGGCATGCCTATCCTTCAACACTTTCAATAGATTGCCTTTGAGTTTTAAAGCACAAAAGTAAAACCTGCTTCTGCATCTGAAATCAAGCACGTACACTTAGCCCTTTTTAATATTGAGTTTAGAAATAATTCCACAATTTAAACAAGCGCCACAGGGAAACATCTTAGTAATGTTACATGTTTGCCAAGTATGTCTGAATAATGCCAACATAAGAGGTGCTTTTGCAAGGTCTACATTCTCCAGAAAAAGAAAACAAAACAAAAACAAAACAAAAATAAAGCACATGAATTTGGGGTTGAGGTTGGAATAGGAGATAGTTCAGACCTGGTTTAATCCTGAGAAAGATGGGTCCTGAGAAGTACTAACAGTCATGCTTCTTTTCCTCTTCCCCACTGGAGATTCTAAACACTGAACAAACAATAGAGGGTGGCAGTGCATCAAACAGTATTGCTTACATTGCAACAATGGCCGGCGCAGACAGGCAACACCGAGGCGTTCGAGAAAGAACAGGGTAGCCAAATGCCATCCTTCTTCCACCAAGCACTGTAGTTTCCAAAAAATTATGTATGTTCATTTTTTTATTTTATTTTTTTTTTCCAAGGAGAAAATTTGAAAGATGTGACAAGGTAAATTTCAACTGTGAGCCACTCCAAAATGGCACTGCCTTGACCAGGGATAGCAATGGTGACATTTGGCTCTAATAAAAAAGGAAATTAAAGTTTTGCTTACAAAAGCATCCTTTGGTTCCACAAACTGCCCTTCCCCCAAAAGACATTTAGAAAAAGCAAATCTTCAGTAAGGAAGAGGTAGAAGGCATTTAGTCACCTTAAAGTTTACTTTCATAAGCATGCAGGGCTTATTTCTAGCAGAGCTAAAAATTCATCTTTTAAGGTGGGAGCAAAATTTCTCCCAAACACCAAATTAAAATTTGAAAAAAATAAATTTAATTTTTAAAAAATTATATCTGACAGGAAGCTACTGGAACAAGATTACCATGCTATTCTAGTCTTTGTGGCTGATTTTCTTTAAACTGTGTATAGTCATCGCTAAAAAACCCCAAACTACACTTAGTTACAGAAAGAAACAAAAGTTAAGTACTGTATGGTGGCAAGTGTTCCCTAGATAAAACACTTGGTTCCAAACTGAAGCAACCCATTCCTCATTTTGCTCATGTAAACCTATCAGTTTACACTTCCATCAAGAACTACCTCCCTCATCTCTAAAACTCTGCAACGGTAACGAAGCCCATGCCCACAGACAGTGCTTACCACCATATTGTTGCACGGCTCCCTAACTAGTCTACTAATTGGAAAAATGATAATGTTTTACAGGCAACTTTGTTTTTCGTTTCAGCTGATGCAAATCTACTATGTTCCTCCACTAAAGTAAGCACAACAGCAATTTCTAGGCCATTAATCCACATCAAGATGAAACAGAGTGCAGCAATGCCAACCTAGCATGACTGTGCAAAAGTATAGAAAAATGGCCCAAAAAGAATTGGAAATCAGAAACTAAAACTAGGAAAAAAAAATTAAAGTTTAAGTTATACTCTAAGTCATGCCAGAAAATTAAGGAGCCTAACTGCTCGACACAGCAGAGAAAAATAGAGCTCTACAGAGTGAAAGTATGAAACTTGGGAACAAGCAAAGTTTAACAGCAACAGGATTACATAAAGACTGCCTTTCAGCTGGACTTACAAGCTTTTCCAACAACGGTTGTATCTAAACATTCAGTGCACTGCACCTCTTCAAGAGCTGTTATCTCATGTTAATCAAGTTTTCCCCTTCTAATGTTCATGGCCCTGAAGTTGGCATTCATACAGGCAAACAAAGGTAAACATTTTAAACACTAGTAGTGCCTAAAGAGATGAGACATTCTCAGATGGCATATAGAGAAGATAAGTGGGAATCTTGCTTCCAATAAACAGCTTGATGACGTACATTTGTCCTGAAGTTAATTTCTATTAAGTAGCATGCTTAATGCATTGCCAATGCTGCCTGTCTGCCCGAGCTCGACACACAAATTGCAGGATTAAGTATATTTCACTCAGAACTAAAAATAAAATTAAGAAGTTTTCTTCTATATAAGGTTTTCAACAGGAAACATGCACTTCTGACTACGTTTACCCATCCAAACAAGTGTACCAAACTCAGCCCGCCCCCCCACCCTGCTTTTTTTCCCCACAAAGTAAATTGAAAGCAGTTTTTTGTTGTACAACATATTCAGGTTCTCTACAACTTAACAGTTTTCAATCAACATCTGTGCGTTAATTTCTTTTACTTATAAAGGCAATTGATCTACATGTTGGCTATTAGTTGTATCCACAATTCTGATGGCAGAAGAGTTCTCTTTACCAGTCTGTCACTGCAAGATTTAATGCCCTGATGACTGGTAGGTCAGGAGCTCCCACGCTGGCACCAATTCTTTTCATCCCAGGAAGTCAGCCCAAAAGCCAAAGATAAGATTTGACTTTATGATTGAGGAAAAAAAAATGCTATTACAACAGTCATCTTGATAATGAAACTCCATCATTGAGAAAACTAGCTCAGTATTTTCTAGGGTTAGTTTATCATCTTGCAGCAAGCCTAGAAATCATTTTGCAATGAAGCGCATCCCACAGCATGGGTCAGAGACCCACATGTGTATGCTACTGCATTTAGAAGCAGACACCGAGAAACTCACATCAAAGAACCATGGTTTAGCATCCAAAACATCAGTTTTAGCAATGAGTTTTAAACAGGGTTGTGCAGCTTGAATCAAGTAACATAGCCATTTCCTTTGGATCTTTTAAACAAAGAGCATTAGACTAACCTTATTACAGTGACGCCCAATACCCATTAGGAAGTTATCTGGTTTAATGTCTCTGTGTATAAAATTCTTTGTGTGCACATATTCAATTCTACTGATCATCTGTAAAAAAAAGAGCAACAACAAAACGGGAGATTTCAATGAGAGCAATACAATTCACTTAAACCTTCAATGAAAGCATGAATTTTTAGTGTTACCTTCTTCTGCAACCTAAGTTGATATATTTGCTTAATGAAAACCAAGTCCTTTTTTTTATGCTGCTCAAACAAATTTATCTGTCTTATATATTAAAATTCCATAATCCTCGTCAGGAAATGGCCAAATACCTGAAACTATTTCCCAGACATGCAAGATGATGTTCTAACTATACTGTCCCATGAAAGAGTAATTTCTTTTCTTACTTCGAACAAAGGTTTTCTACACATACCCCAAGTTAGTTTTAAAGCTCATTCCCTCCCCCATCCCTGTTATTCTTCCATCTCGTTATCCATTCATCATCAAGCGTCACCTTTCCAGGTAACAGTTTTCAGAGTAAGTACAAATCGATTGTGGCCCATACTGTCCTATCTAGGCTACCACGATCTGGGAAAAACAGTCAGCAATGAAGACGCAGAGAAACATGGCACATCCATATCATCATATATGGTCACGTGACTTCCCCCGCGTGAGCTCACAGCACAGGCATCTCTGCGGTACAGCCTGCCAGCTACTAAAACACTCTTTACGCAGTCTGTCATGAGTTGAACTGTTACACCATACGCCTGACATCTGGTCTACTGGACTATGCTCTAAAAGCCAGTTCCATGCACTGGTATCATCATCCTGTCTGTTTCCCAGATGACAACTAATTAGTGTTTATCATCCAAAGGAATACTGCACAAAACCGATATAGATTCCCCGGAGATGCTGTTAACACCCAGACTCCAGCTAAGTGAGCAAGCAAATGGCTCTCTGAAGCAACCACACCACTCAAGGCAGCAGTGCACAGGGACAGCTGACCTCGTCTCCACACAAATGCCGTGAGCTTCCTTGGCCAAGAGCCTGGGATTCTACAAGCATCTGGCTAAGTGACAACTTGGTACTAACATCAATTACGTGATAGCAGATGAAATTTAAACTACCATTGAAAATTCAACTTGTGAAACCCTTACTGCCTTTCCAGTAGCTGAAGACAGCACAATCAAGCTATTTATTGAGTAGCACGAAATAAATAGGGCTGGCCATTTCAAACGCTGTACTCTCATGACCAAGATGAAAAAATGTAAGTTGCTAGAGAAAGACTTAAGAGACCTCAGCTTCAGAGGCATTAAGTTTGAGGCAGAGTGGCATCTCCACTAACAGATTTAAGAACTGTCTTTAGGCACCACAACAACCAAGACAGTATTTATTAGCTTACGGTCTGGTACTAGAAGTTACAGGAGGTTGTGAGCGCGTAGTGGCATTCAACAAGAACAGACCCATAGTCTTGCACATTGCCCACCTGTCACCGCAGCTGGCCAACACGTAACAGGTTTGAATCACATCGACCATAACTGGACACTGCTTCAGACCTTCTAACACCACCCCCACAGCTGATATTGGGAGTTAATCCACCCATATTAGTCTTGATACTTTACTAAAGTTGCACTTGTTAGACCTGCAGCATCCAGAGCTGGTATCAGCACTGCCCTCCTGCCACAGGCCTACATTCATTTTGTGTGCCACACCATTACTTTGCTCCTATATAGGTCAAGTCTTCACTTAGCTACATGCAACACTGCACAACATATTATTTAACCCACTTAAAAAGAACCATGTTGCACAAAATACTTTAGGGTTTTTAACTTCCTCTGAGTAAGATTTGCACGTACCTGGTCTGCTAGCATAAGTACTGTTTTCATCGTAAACCTGCGAGAACAGAAGTTGAATAGGTCTTCAAGGCTGGGACCAAGAAGATCCATAACTAGAACATTGTAGTCCTTTTCTTGACCATACCACCTGCAACAAAGAACATTATTCAGCATTAGCAGTAATCCCAATGCAGCCCAGGATACCATTAGCCCTCTTGCCTGCAAGGGCACGTGCCTGCCTGATGTTCAGTCTTGAAAGCTAACTAAAAACAAAGGCTAGTGGGGTCTTATTTTTCCTGGAAACAAAGTCAGAGGACAAAACAGAATATACAAGTTGGCAAGTGTGTGCACACACATTTATCTTCCCCTTAAGAGGAAACACTACTACACTTTAGCAGCAACTGAAATACCAAACACCAAAATAAAAGCGCAATCAAAGCAGAAGCCATTACATGTTAATATACCAACATGTATGTATAAAGTCCAAACTGAAACTCATCTACAGGACACCTTACATTCCCACCATTGTTTCTTGCACTATTTAACTTCACAGAAACATCTTTAAATGCTTTACGCTTTCAAGTATGACTTCTCTGCAACAGTCTAAAGCAGGTCATGCAGTTAACTGACATACCACCTCTTCATTCATTCATCCAAATTTAACAAATGGCAATCAAGTTCTACTGTCCTATTAAGTAGAAGACAAAGGCTCTTTACCAGGTTTTCAACATCATAAAGGGAAAATTCACTTAAGTGTCATAGAAGAAAAAACATAAATGTAGCAAAATATCATTTGCAGCCAAACAGACTGTGATACCCACCCTTGAGTGTCTGACGTATCATTTCACAGCAAAAAAATTAACGTTACCAATGCTGTGAGGACAAGCAGAAGGCTTATTTTTCCTTCCAATCCATGTCTACCATTTCCATCACACTACTGCTTTATGTTATCTGCAACTGGGGGACAGTATTTCACTACTTAAGCTGCCTGAGAAGACCTGGAATCATACCCTTCACTTCCACAAATCTCAGCTGTGAATTTCCATACTTTAAATGGGCACTAAAACATAGAACCTAAATAGTCTTCTCTACAGTCCTGCACATTCCAGATACCTTCAATTCAGTGAAGTGTGTGAAAAAACGTTTATGAAGCTGCGCTGAGTACCGACACATCGTTGTGAAGATTCAACACCTCATCCATCATGAGGCTGCATTTTGCCTTTGCTAGGCACCCAGTCCTTACGACAAGGACCCAGTACCAGCAGTCAATGGATAAGCTTTCTTCTGGAGGAGTCTTGAAGTTTCCAACAATAGTGGTGCAGATAAGATACAGAAAGAATATATCCCATAAGAACATGAAAATAAAATTTAAAAAAATAAGATTCAGCTCAAACACAGTCATAGCTGGGGCTTAAAGAGATCTGTAGAGATGTTTTATTTCCACTTTAGGCAATGACTCCAGGAGACTAATCCGTGGTTGTCTAGAGAATAGTTACCACTGACAAATTCAACAAATTCCTTGGTACTCATGGGATTATTCCAAGCTTAGCCAGGATAGTAAAGTAAAATGTTTATAAAACCACAAAGAAAAGATTCTATATTTGGATTTGCTTCAGGAACTACTGGCCTGTACCTTCCCACTGTCGGGATTCTAGTAGAAACCATGCACTTCATAATGCATTGTTATAAATCTGGTAAAAGTTATGAGATGTGGATCATACCCACTCTTTTACAGGTCAGTCTAGGACCTTTATTCATTCCCTTCATCAAGAGGGGATGCAAAAAAAAAAAGTATTTTGAAAGCAGTCATTCAAATGAAATGTCAATCAAAGTTTTCCTGCAACTTGTTAATGATCACTCCACTACTGTAAGTTCACTTCATCAGTTTCTGCCTTCTAAAAATTAATTCAATGTACTATGATGTACAAAACCCCCCACAACTTACAAGTGGCTCAACTAGGAAAGCATGGTGATGGTATTATTTGATAAAGTCTGTAATTTATGAAAAGGTTAATATTCACACAGCAACATGACACCAAGCCATGAAACATATGCATTTCAAAGAGATCTGCCTAGCTAGGCCCTTTTAAGGAGTGATCAGAATGTAGTTTGAACCACAACAGCAACCAAGAAGAGTATTTTAAAACTGCAATGCAGAGATGGAGAATCAAATTGAGATACCATTGAGAAAAGTTCTTAATCAACTATGAACCACCTTCTGTTCAAGAATTACTGACTATGCCTGTAAATCTACTTCTTCGTTCTTATCAAAGTCACCTACACAAGTGCCTCAGTAGTTCTGACACAGCTCTATGCACAACTCCCCAGGTCACAGTTGGAAATGAAACATCACCATCATCTAGAGTAATGAATATGGACTAAACGACCTGCCTAGTTATTCTGTTACATGAAATTTAGGTTTGTGATGAAAACTTCTAAAGAATAATGAGCTGAATTGAAGCATTCTAAGGAGTAAATAAAGACCTAGATAAAATATGATCTTCAAGAAATGGAAGTCTAATTCAGATGTTGAGTGCAACTGTTCAGCACAGTAATGGTTCAGTGCCCAAGAGACTGCAGTATAAGGGAAAAGGATCAAAGATCAGTCTTCAACTGAGCTAAGAAAATTTAGTTACAGCACCACAGAAAAAGTGAAGCTGATAAAAAGGAAGCTTACCCTGGGAGCTACATTTCAAAAAGCATTTGGTTCCTCTATAGGGATCTCTGCTTAGTAAGTGCAGTAATTCAGGTTGATTGCACAACCTCCATTTGGCTTACTCCTACATATGAACAAGAAAATTTTAATCTGACCATTCTGTACTGGTGGAAAGCAGAATCAACTCTGCAAGACAAAGACAGACAGAACCTCTTAACATTTCATTTTCATGTTTTACCTGCCTGTAGTTCGTCACAGAAGACTACCGCATTTATTAATTTCACCACTGGCAAGTGAAACTCCTACTAGGGTACTGGAGTAACTTGTGCTTTATTCACCTTGCTAACACTGCAAGTAAGTTTTCGTTTCCCTTGGAGCATTTCCAGAGAAAAAGGAATTAAGAAGTAAGGCTACATCATGTCCATTCGAAGTCTAGTAGCTGTGACTGCTGGCAACTCGGAGTAAAAGTGTTAGGAGTCTTGGCTCTTCCTAGGAAACTTGAACATTATGATATGTAAGAGCTTGGCAAGTACTCCTTAGTCCCATATTTGCACAATCAATGTAAGATGGCATATAAGCACACATTTTGGACAGGCACAAGTTCAGAGCACTTTGGCATGCAGGTTTTAACACTACTAGGCTAAAGAGCAAAACAATATGGCAACAAACTAAGCACAATTCTACAAAAAAAAAAGCTAGTGTCTCAAAGAGAAATCTTCAGAAGTTCTAATACTGCATCAGCAATGAAATTTGGAATGAACTACTAATATGAAGGAATGATCCATACAAAGCCCTTACACGACACTAGCATCTCAGAACACAAGTGTCCCACGTGTCTGTTAGAGCTCCATGGACTTTTTTTTTTTTTAAGCATACTTGGAAGTACTCTTTCTCATACTAAAGCTGAGGAAGCAACAGGAGCAATACATTTTAAGCAGAGAAAAGTTTTGGGAGGGAGTGAAGAGTGGGAACAAGAGGTGTAACTACTTGACAGTTCACTTTGGGAGGGTAATGACTCTGCATAGTTACATACAATGTTTTACTTCAAAAAGAAAAGCTTAATTACTACACTAGGAAAACTCAGTATTTCTCTAACTCATTCCCACAGTGCTGTATGTCCTATTAGGACATATTTCCTAAATAGAAAATTTTGATTCTGTAGCACAGGTCCATTTACACCTACTTATGCCAAAAAACCCCCACAAAGTACGGATCGTCATCAATCCTTTCCTGAAGAACAGCAGTAGATGATCTTATTCAAGACTACACAAAACATTACAGGACAATATTATTACGGGCTAAGATTTATCCTTGAACTGGCAGCGTTACAGTAACATCTGATACAGCTGTTAAGAACCCTAGTCCATATTTAAGCTGTAAGGCGTGCCCAAACTCACACATGCATGAAAATGCTTCGTCACTCCCTTGCCTCATCTGTTTAAAGCTACAGCCCAAATTACTCTAGATCAGTTAGGATACCATAAATATCCTTTACAAAGCTTTCCATCAAAGCACGGGTAAAGACTGAACACAGTGACCTCAATTTGACTTCAGTGACTTGTCTAATTTGAATGACCAAGACTCACCAGGTCACAAGTTTCCAAATCAGGTGGCTCAGCAGCCTGATACATTGCCCCAGTACAGGCACACAGCTGAAATTTTGTAACATCTTGAATTTCAGTATTTGTAGCTCTAAGCTGAACAAGGAAGTCACATGACACAATGGTTTGATGCCAGATCCCATGGCAAGTGAATGTTGACTTAAACTCATGTGGGGTAGTTCTTTTAATTCCTTGACTAAACTTGAGACAAGCAAGTGAAGTACTGATGCACATCTAGCACTCAGTAGCAAACACTGTAGTCGGGTCTACCCAAACTTAAAATCCTTTTCTGTTTTCAGAGCTGCATCTTTCAAAAACTGCATGATGCCTATTTCAGCAACTGTGTATTTTGTAAATCATGTCAATGACAAAAGAAATATTTGAGAAAATGTTTGTTAATAGCTTGTTCTGTTTGTTTGGTTGGTTTTTAAGTGAGAAAACATCTTATTTCCTCATTATAAACTCTTCACATCTAGCATATCTTCCTTTGAAAGGGTCAAATTGAGGGAGGTCAATTAGCAAAGAGAGGTGGGCGAAGTGCTAACAGAATTCAGACACAGGCCATGAAATTACAGGCTCAGTTGCACACTACTGTACCACTTATACAACTTTATAGTAGTCAACCAGCAGTTTCATCCATTACATTGGCACTTGTAATTACAATAACATAACAAAACCAACGCAATTACCAAAGCTGTGTGAGCTGGTCATGTGATGACCATCAGAAGATTCAGATGAGAAAAAAAATCTCAAATTCAGACCAAGATAAACTAAATTACTAACTGTATAGTTGTTAATCACTGGTAAAGAAACCCCAAATCTCATGCATTCTGAAACCACAAAGACAGTAAAGGCATTGCCATCATTAGCATAATGGCACATTACTTTGAC